CTCAGCCCTGGCTGCTTCAGCCCCTGCGGCCTCAGTGGGCCCCGGAGTTCCCGGGGGGGCGATATCGACGCCGGCCCCAGCTCCGGCCTCGGCTCCCGCTCCAGGTCCCTCGGCGGGGCCGCCTCTTGGACCTCCAGCCTCGCTCCTGGACACCTGCGCCGTGTGTCAGCAGAGCCTGCAGAGCCGGCGTGAGGCGGAGCCCAAGCTGCTGCCCTGTCTTCACTCCTTCTGCCTGCGCTGCCTGCCCGAGCCGGAGCGCCAGCTCAGTGTGCCCATCCCGGGGGGCAGCAACGGCGACATCCACCAAGGTGAGCGGGAGGCCCTGCCCGAGGTCTGGGCTGAAAGGGATCTGCGGGGCCGAGGGGGAGCTGGAGACGGAGGTACTCGGGCCCGGGGCTCCTTGACCTGCGCGATCCTGAGGGGTCTGAGAGGTGAAAGGCCCCTGGGACAGTTTTCAGAGGAGCTGGACCGCGGGAGATATGCGGAGGGTGAAGGGAGGGGTGCAGACTGCCGGAGACGGGGGGAGGGGACACCGCCGCCGGGGAGGTTTGCGATGTGCGGATACCGGCCGGGAAGGCGTGGACTCGTGCGCAGCGCAGATTCGTGAGCTGCTGGACTTGGACTCGGGGAGAGGATGGGGCCTGGGGCACGACTGGTGAGAATCATTTTTAGAAGGAAGGCCCAGAGCCGGAAGAGGTGTTGAGGAAGGAAGGAGGGAGTAGGTAAGGGATGGGGGCTGTGAGGAGGAATTGCCTTGGTGGGAAAGGATTTGATCTGTTCCAAGACTAGGGGAAAGGAGGGCTAGGGATCAAATAGAGGAGAATAAAGGGCATTGGAGAGTTTGGGGTTAAGAGAAAGCGCCTGATAGAAAGTAATTTTAAGATGACATTGGGACAGAGGAACTTGGCAACGAAAATAACTGTGAAGGGCCTGCATGGTTAGGGAAAAAATCCCAAGGTTTAGAGTTGAAGGAGAAATGAACTTTGAAAGGAATTGGGAGTTAGAGCTGGGCATGAATTTCAGTTCATTGTACATTAAGGAGCCCCTAGTGTTCCAGACACTGTAGGATTGAATAAAATACTCAGTGAGGAGCTCATTCACAGTCTAGCGGGAAATAAATGTAAAATCTATAGTATCGGCGGCGGGTTCTTGCTACAGTGGTTGTGGCACAGTCAAGAGAAGGTCAGGGAAACTTCACTGAAAAGGAAACCCTTGAGCAAGTTTCTTGAAAGGTGAGTAGCTCACTGGGTTGGAGAGTATTCAGGGCACAGGGCACCGGGCACCTTACACATCCCTGAAGCTAAGGGATGTGTATGGTGATTGGTAGAAATTAGGTTGGATTGATGGGCTGAATAGATAAGGGGTCTGCAATCCCTTATCTGAAACTCTTGGGACCGGTGTATTTTAGGCTTAAGAGTAGTTGGAAAATTTTCTTTTTCCTGATAAGGTCAATAATACTACAGTAGAGTCTTGGTTAACAACACAGCATTACACTAATATTTCTGTAATGAGCATAAATATCACGCTAATAGTATAGACAGTAGTCTTCTGCAATTCAGGGTAGGTTTTGTCACAAATTTGAGAGAAATTTTAATATTTCAAAGCTTCTGAGTTTCAGTAGTGTGAATAAGGGATTGTGGACCTGTACCAAAGGGTTTAGGATTCATCCTGTAAAGTGTATTCTGTATACTGTAGACTTAAGGGAGTCTCTGAAGGACTTTTATATCAAGAGGATAAAAGGATCACATCTGTGATCCTAAAGATCACTTGGTAACACATTGAAAGGTAAAGGAAATCAAGACTGGAGGCAGGACCAATTAGAATCTTGACAGTAATCTAGGTAAGAAATTATCATTTGGAATGGGTAGTAAAGAACTGATGGTCAGGTATTAAAGAAAGAAGCATTTTTCTGTTGGTGAGACATATTTGAATTTGAATGTCTACTTTGTCACTTCCTGCTTATGGCTTGGAACAGATTTTTTTCTTAGCCTCAGTTTCCTTATTTTTGAAACAAAGGCAAAATTATCTACCTCATAGGGTTATTGAAAGAATGAAGTGTGTACACTGACTAGTACAATCATTAATGAAATGGCAGCTAGTTTGTTAGCAATTATTAATGAAATGGCAGCTAGTTTGTTAGCAGTAGTAACTAATTGTAAGTAGCCATGGGAGTGGAGGTTGCGGGGGCATTAAGATTGGTGCGATGGTGTGAGGGAGAGGCGGGTGTCTAGTCTGAGTCCAGGGTTTCTTGTTTGATGGGTTGCAGTGCTATTAGTGCAAGTAAAAGAATTTAGGCACAGAGCAGGGGTGTGTGTGTGTGTGTGTGTGTGTCCGCGTCCACGTCCGTGTCCGCGTCCGCGCACGCATGCGCGCAATAGAGGGGGAATATAATGATTTCAATTTTGGTTGTTTTGGGTTTGAAGTATTATTGAGACATGCAAGTGAGAATGTTATGTTAAGAATAAGGGTTGGATTGATGGAGAAGATACTAGATGATAATGGGTGTACTGAAGAGGCATAATGGGTGTGTAACTAACTGCTCATGGCCTTGTGAGTATAGTAAGATATGTGGGATTCAGTGTTCTTTTGGGAACCTGGATTAGGTGAGAGATTTAGAGAACACAAGATGAAAAATGTGTTTGACTTATGTGGCCGAGGGACTGGGGTAATGAAATAAGCCCTCTGATATTTATGCAGGAGAGAGAATAATAGTCCGTAGTTTGCGTGTTCGTATCTCCATCCTTCTTTGTTTTTGAAATAGACATAAGTGGATGGGACTAAGTACTGTCAGCGTTAATGTTGCTTTCTAACCAGTATCTAAAAGTCTGGAAGCCACATGTTTTTAGGCAAGGAGTCCAGAAAATAATTTGTTAGTATTAATTTCTGTATATATCATTTGCTTTGCTTTTTAAAAAAGCAAGCATGCTATTTTGGAAGGAACACTGGATTTGGAGTTAGGGGACACAGTTCTGTCACTTTTTTTCTGGTTTCCTCAGGTTCATAATGTTTCTGTCCTTCAGTTTCTTTCTCTCTAAAATGTAGCTAATAGGCTTTCCTCCATATCTCACTAAGTCGAATTAAATAATAAACACGAAAATGCTTTATAAACTGTGAAGTGCTTTTCAAATGCAAGATATTATTAAACAACCTGTGATTCCATCTCTGGTCTGGGAGCCATAGATGGTTGTTTAATTCAGTCTCTCAAGTGGTTCTGAAACAATAAGCAGGTTACCCTCCCTCTTAACTGGCCCATTTTCTGTCCCTCTAACACACCAGGTTACTCACAGCTTTTAGCTGTTCCCTGTAGATTGATGATTGATGGTTCTCCAGATGTGGCTTCTGGACCAGCAGCATCAGCATCACCTATGATCTTGTTAGGAATACAAAATCTGTGCCCCACTCTAGACATTCTGACCAGCAGTCTGTTTTAACTAGTCTCCCAGGTGATTATGATGCACACTAAGTTTGAGAACCACTGTTCTTGAGCAAAGGGCTCCTCACGTCAAATGTTGCCTCCTGAGAAGCACTTTCACTGTTTTTTTTTTAAGGCTTTATTTTTTTGGAGCAGTTTTAGATTTATAACAAAATAAGAGACAGATATGGATATTTGTCATACATCACCTGCCCTCAATGCCTGCGTAGCCTCCCCCTTTATCAATATCCTCCACCAGAGTGATACATTTAGGACCTACACTGACACATCATAATCACCCAAAGTCTTACGTGAGGGCTCACTCTTAGTGTTGTACATTCTATGGGTTTGGACAAATGTATGATAACATATATTCACCATTACATCATAGAGTATTTCCACTGCCTTAAAAATCCTCTGACTGCTCTTTCTAAAGTAATCTTCCAGGTCACTTTCTGACATCTTATTTATTTATTTTTCTTCATAGCACAGATAAAATCCAAAATGTTTACCTGTTTTTGTTGTTCTCATTTGCCTCTTGTTTCTCACTAGAATATCATAGAGTGAATGTTCAAAATTCACTCTATGATCTTTTGAATGAAGAAGAATCACCTGGAGAGCTTTTTAAAATGATGTTTTGGGGAGTTTAAGAGATACTGTTTCAATTAATTTGGGGTGACACTAGGAATCTGAATTTTTAACAAGTATCTCATGTGATTCAGATTCTGGAACCTATCACACTTTGAGAAACATGGATTTCAGTATGTTTGAAGAGAAAGGCTGATCCATTTACTGTTGGAGTATTTGGAAAATCAAAGTAGATATACACTAGTTAGTATTTGTTGAATCTCAATAGTAAGTTTTTTAAAGTGCTTTTGTAATTATTTTTAGTTCTGTTTCAGGTTGAGTCAGAACAGCTATCAGTATTGATGATGTATACATCAATAATGTATCAATAAAAATACAGATTTGTATTGATGCACCTAATAAACTCTAAAATGAACTCTTGAAGGAGATGAGACTTTTGTAGTAGGATGCATCTGAGAGAGCTGGTGATGTGGATGAATTAGATTGGGAGTAACTTGCATTGGGTTCTGCTATTAATTCACTATGTAACCTTGAGCAGGGTATCTAGACAGCCTCTCCAGGCCTGCAGTATGAAGAGGTTGAGTACCTATTCTATAAAATTTTATGATTTTATTGTCTTTTATGCTAACTTTTTACATCTACATAAGTTTAATATTATTTTGTGGGGAATGATAGAAGAAACAACATGGAAACATGATTCTGTTTCTGAATCTTAAACTTATTGTGAAAAATCTGAGATGGCAACAGTCATGTTGTAGGTCGGAGGGAATACCTCTGGGTGTAGTGTGAAGAGCACAGAGGTTCTGTTTTTTTTTTTTTTTTTTAATCACTGAGTGTGCTGAACCACTTTGGGGAATCTTTCGGTTGAGCCCTTTGAATTTTTTTGCTCCAGTAGTACACATACTGTATTGCAGTCGGCTAGTTCTATGTGGGGTTTATCTGGGGACTTTTTTCCCCCACAAATAGAATTTTTTATTTGTCACCATCGAAAGCCTGAATTTTAAACAGATTCTTGGACTGGGACTCAAGTCTATCAACTTGTTCAGCTTTAGCACTTGTCTCATCCCACAGTAACTTTTCTAGAACTGCTACCTTCACCATGAAGCTCCATGAGTTTTCCCAATTCAAACTTGGGCTTCATTAGCATTTTGACTTTTCTAATAAAGACATCAGTCCTGGAGCAGATAAATAGCTGGGCAAACCTTTTTTATGGTTTTTTTCCCCCCGCCCCAATGCTATCGGAATCAATTTACTGACTACTTCTTTCAAGTCATTTGTCTGCACCTCTCAGGTCATGATTTCCATCAT